TTACAAGTTCTTTTTGTCATTTTATTTTTATAACACCCAGAAAGAACTATTTTAAGGAGTCAAAACCACCGTCTTCCGGCATTCTGGAGTATCTCGATTACATTCACGAGAACGGATGCCCCTGAACGTGATTATTTGATTCGTCCATGGGCTTCCGTTTTCGTATATGTAATCGAGTTGAGATTTTTTGAAATTGTTGGAATCGCAGTACAAACATCAATTAAAAGCGATTGAGACCTATTTCAGTAAGTCCTTTTTTACAAGTTCTTTTTGTCATTTTATTTTTATAACACCCAGATTGAACTATTTTTAGGAGTCAAAACCACCGTCTTCCGGCATGCTGGAGTATCTCGATTACATACACGAGAACGGATGCCCCTGAACGTGATTATTTGATTCATCCAGGGGCCTCCGTTTTCGTATATGTAAGCGAGTTGAGATTTTTTGAAATTGTTGGAAACGCAGTACAAACCTCAATTAAAAACCACGGCGAAAATGATTGAGACCTATTTCAGTAATTCCTTTTTTACAAGTTCTTTTTGTCATTTCATTTTTATAACACCCAGATTGAACTATTTTTAGGAGTCAAAACCACCGTCTTCCGTCATGCTGGAGTATCTCGATTACATACACGAGAACGGATGCCCCTGAACGTGATTTTTTGATTCGTCCAGGGGCATCCGTTTTCGTATATGTAAGCGAGTTGAGATTTTTTTGAATTGTTGAAAACGCAGTACAAACCTCAATTAAAAACGATTGAGACCTATTTCAGTAAGTCTTTTTTACAAGTTCTATTTGTCATTTTATTTTTATAACACCCAGATTGAACTATTTTTAGGAGTCAAAACCACCGTCTTCCGTCATGCTGGAGTATCTCGATTACATACACGAGAACGGATGCCCCTGAACGTGATTATTTGATTCGTCCAGGGGCATCCGTTTTCGTATATGTAAGCGAGTTGAGATTTTTAGAAATTGTTGGAAACGCAGTACAAACATCCATTAAAAGCGATTGAGACCTATTTCAGTAAGTCTTTTTTTACAAGTTCTTTTTGTCATTTTATTTCTATAACACCCAGATTGAACTATTTTTAGGAGTCAAAACCACCGTCTTCCGTCATGCTGGAGTATCTCGATTACATACACGAGAACGGATGCCCCTGAACGTGATTTTTTGATTCGTCCAGGGGCATCCGTTTTCGTATATGTAAGCGAGTTGAGATTTTTTTGAATTGTTGAAAACGCAGTACAAACCTCAATTAAAAACGATTGAGACCTATTTCAGTAACTCCTTTTTTACAAGTTCTATTTGTCATTTTCTTTTTATAAACCCAGATTGAACTATTTTTAGGAGTCAAAACCACCGTCTTCCGACATGCTGAAGTATCTCGATTACATACACGAGATTGGATGCCCCTGAACGTGATTTTTTGATTCGTCCAGGGACATCCGTTCTCGTATATGAAGGCGAGTTGAGATTTTTTGAAATTGTTGGAAACGCAGTACAAACCTCAATTAAAAACGATTGAGACCTATTTCAGTCAGTCCTTTTTTACAAGTTCTTTTTGTCATTTTATTTTTATAACACCCAGAAAGAACTATTTTTAGGAGTCAAAACCACCGTCTTCCGGCATTCTGGAGTATCTCGATTACATTCACGAGAACGGATGCCCCTGAACGTGATTATTTGATTCGTCCATGGGCTTCCGTTTTCGTATATGTAATCGAGTTGAGATTTTTTGAAATTGTTGGAAACGCAGTACAAACATCAATTAAAAGCGATTGAGACCTATTTCAGTAAGTCCTTTTTTACAAGTTCTTTTTGTCATTTTATTTTTATAACACCCAGATTGAACTATTTTTAGGAGTCAAAACCACCGTCTTCCGGCATGCTGGAGTATCTCGATTACATACACGAGAACGGATGCCCCTGAACGTGATTATTTGATTCATCCAGGGGCCTCCGTTTTCGTATATGTAAGCGAGTTGAGATTTTTTGAAATTGTTGGAAACGCAGTACAAACCTCAATTAAAAACCACGGCGAAAATGATTGAGACCTATTTCAGTAAGTCCTTTTTTACAAGTTCTTTTTGTCATTTCATTTTTATAACACCCAGATTGAACTATTTTTAGGAGTCAAAACCACCGTCTTCCGTCATGCTGGAGTATCTCGATTACATACACGAGAACGGATGCCCCTGAACGTGATTTTTTGATTCGTCCAGGGGCATCCGTTTTCGTATATGTAAGCGAGTTGAGATTTTTTTGAATTGTTGAAAACGCAGTACAAACCTCAATTAAAAACGATTGAGACCTATTTCAGTAAGTCCTTTTTTACAAGTTCTATTTGTCATTTTATTTTTATAACACCCAGATTGAACTATTTTTAGGAGTCAAAACCACCGTCTTCCGTCATGCTGGAGTATCTCGATTACATACACGAGAACGGATGCCCCTGAACGTGATTATTTGATTCGTCCAGGGGCATCCGTTTTCGTATATGTAAGCGAGTTGAGATTTTTAGAAATTGTTGGAAACGCAGTACAAACATCCATTAAAAGCGATTGAGACCTATTTCAGTAAGTCTTTTTTTACAAGTTCTTTTTGTCATTTTATTTCTATAACACCCAGATTGAACTATTTTTAGGAGTCAAAACCACCGTCTTCCGTCATGCTGGAGTATCTCGATTACATACACGAGAACGGATGCCCCTGAACGTGATTTTTTGATTCGTCCAGGGGCATCCGTTTTCGTATATGTAAGCGAGTTGAGATTTTTTTGAATTGTTGAAAACGCAGTACAAACCTCAATTAAAAACGATTGAGACCTATTTCAGTAAGTCCTTTTTTACAAGTTCTATTTGTCATTTTATTTTTATAACACCCAGATTGAACTATTTTTAGGAGTCAAAACCACCGTCTTCCGTCATGCTGGAGTATCTCGATTACATACACGAGAACGGATGCCCCTGAACGTGATTATTTGATTCGTCCAGGGGCATCCGTTTTCGTATATGTAAGCGAGTTGAGATTTTTAGAAATTGTTGGAAACGCAGTACAAACATCCATTAAAAGCGATTGAGACCTATTTCAGTAAGTCTTTTTTTACAAGTTCTTTTTGTCATTTTATTTCTATAACACCCAGATTGAACTATTTTTAGGAGTCAAAACCACCGTCTTCCGTCATGCTGGAGTATCTCGATTACATACACGAGAACGGATGCCCCTGAACGTGATTTTTTGATTCGTCCAGGGGCATCCGTTTTCGTATATGTAAGCGAGTTGAGATTTTTTTGAATTGTTGAAAACGCAGTACAAACCTCAATTAATAACGATTGAGACCTATTTCAGTAAGTTCTTTTTGTCAACCCCCTAAATAGGTATTTGGTAGTAGATTAGTGGAAAAGTCTTATAATTGAGTTGACAACTAAAATATAAAATTTAATTTTCAAATTTTATAGAATTGCTGAAAACTTGAAAAATCGCGACCAGGCCCCTTAAGTATAAGAAGTCATCAAAATGTTATCAAAAATAATTTTTCTTAAGGTTTTAATTCATATTTTCTAATTTGCTTACATTATTTAATAATTATTAATTATTTATTAATTATACATTACATTATTAAATGTTTTGTATTACTATTTAGTTTGTGTGTTATTGTAGTTAATTTTAAATACTAAATATTATTAAAACATAGTGAGAATGTATAACATAAACATTTTGAATATGCATATCTATATTATATGAAAAATATATATATTAGTGGTGTCTTACACTCTTGTTCCTAGTAAAGGGTTGATAAGTTAATTAATAATTTTTGCTTGTCTTATAAATAAGTACTAATTTATAAACTTTTTTACTATAGGACCACCAAACATACCAAACAAGTTCTTTTTGTTATTTTATTTTTATAACACCCAGATTAAACTATTTTTAGGAGTCAAAACCACCGTCTTCCGACATGCTGGAGTATCTCGATTACATAGACGAGAACGGGTGCCCATGAACGTGAATATTTGATTCGTCCCGGGGTCCCCGTCCTCGTCCATGTAGGCGAGTTGAGATTTTTTGAAATTGTTGAAAACGCAGAACAAACCTCAATTAAAAACCACGGCGAAAAATGTTTGAGACTTATTTCAGTTTGTCCTTTTTTACAAGTTCCTTTTTTTAATTTTATTGTTATAACACCATAATGCTATAATCAATTATTTTAATTTTATTACAAACGTGATTACAACAACAATCGCGTTATCACATTTCATATTTGATTGGGTTGAGTTATTTGGCTGGTAAAAATGTGATAATACCCTTGAATGCCGAGGCTGACATTACTTGACTGGAGTATATTTCGAATTGTTCCGATCCTAGTTTGTGATGTTATGGATTACGTTAATAGGGATTTATTGTGGCTATGAGGGTTGCGTCATTTGAGTTGAAGAAAAATTAAATTTTATACCAGACATACTCATTTGTGGGTTACAATATTTGGCCAGAATGTGTATTTATGTGTCAAGAATAATATTCAATAATACCCTCACTCTTAAAACTATTTAGGGTAACATCAGTTGGCCTCTCCACTGACGAATTATTAGCCACATTTTTTATTAGTCATTTTTATTTTTAGTCAATTAATATTGTATATCACATCTTCATTAAGTATAAGAAGTCATCAAAATGTTATCAAAAATAATTTTTCTTAAGGTTTTAATTCATATTTTCTAAATTGCTTAAATTATTTATCCTGTTAAATGTTTTGTATTACTATTTAGTTTGTGTGTTATTGTAGTTAATGGTAAATACTAAATGTTATTAAAACATAGTGAGAATGTATAACATAAACATTTTGAATATGCATATCTATATTATATAGAAAATATATATATTAGTGGTGTCTTACACTCTTGTGCCTAGTAAAGGGTGGATAAGTTAATTAATAATTTTTGCTTATGTTATAAATAAGTACTAATTTATAAACTTTTTTGGTATAGGACCACCAAACATGCCATTAGAAAATCCCAGTATGTTCCAAGGACAAAAGGAAGACAATATATTATGTAATTATACTATCCTTTAATAAAATTATTTGCAATAAACTGAATAATATTTTTATTTCACATACAGTACCTAGTCAAACAATGACACCTCATGATTATCAAGGACCTACTGCCCCGATGTCTGGTACAACAACAGATAGACGACCAGTACAAAGCACACTTATACACATTCAATGCAACCACCGCATCCAGTATTATCTGAGTATATTGAATATCTACCCTTTTATAGTTATATTTGTTTTATATTTAAATACCTCTTAAATGTAATTATATTGTTTTTCTATGGGAAGTGTCTGAAATGGGATCGAGTGGTTTACTATCATCTCTGCCAGCTCCTGAACATTTGTGTTTCATTGCTTACTTTAAATTAGATACTCAGGTTGGAGGAATGTTTAAGGTTTCATCTACTTGCCCTCATGTTACTGTTGATGGTTATGTTGATCCTTCCGGAAGTCATCGATTTTGTTTGGGTGCCCTTTGTTATGTTTCAAATTGAAAGAGCTTGGTAAAAATAAGTAACAACATTAGTTATTAGTGTAAGCTTGATATTTACAACATTAGTGAATAATGATCTTTACAGATTTGTAGATTGGGAAAGGTATTCAACTAGATCTGATTGGAGAAGGAGATGTTTGGTTAAAATGTCAGAGTGATCATTCAGTTTTTGTGCAATCGTATTATTTAGATAGAGAAGCTGGCCAAGCACCAGAAGATGCAGTCCATAAAATGTATCCTCATGCATACATTGAAGTATGTGAAGTATATTTTGATAACTGAAGTATAATACATTTTTTTTTGTTTTCATTGATATGATACATGTTATAAATTATTTAGGTTTTTAATCTTAGACAGTGTTACAAGCGAATGTGTCAACAAGCTGAAACAGTCAAAATGCAGCAGCAGTTGCAGGACATTTAGCAGGATATAATATTGTGCTTGGTATTGGTCCAGTTATAAACAGAAATCAAATATTTTATTAATATAAATATTTATTTATTTCACGTCAATTTATTAGAAATATATTAAGAATATAGAATTTTATAGAATAACTAGTTATTTAATAAAATAACGTATTACATACATTACTGCTAAGATTTACATACAATTTGATTTCGAGCCATTGATTTTTTTTCTTTTATTTATTTTCTTTTACTATAAAGCAAATATAAACATATTTTATACTTACACTTAAATACTCAATCCTATGTTGCTGGTTAGATTTATAGAAACCAGTCATTTTTCTGTTTATACATTTTTTAACTTAGAAAATTTAACAAATTAACGTGAACCATTAGATACTGTTAACATTTTATGGATAGCCAGTTCTTACAAACTCCGGTTAATTGGACACTACACGTCCATTTGTTATTTCTGTCTTACATAGCAAATTTACGATCAGCAAATAACGTTTGAATCCATTAGCTTAAAAATTAGAGTGAATCGACCTATTATGCAACTTTATATTAAGAACATTATCATTTATCTGTGTTTGTATGTGGGTTTTTTACAATACTTCAATTAGTGAGCAAGTTATGACGTGTATATATTATAGCGTAAATTAAATATGTTCATTACTCACTTAAAAACAGAGTTATTGTAAAAAAAAAACAAAAAACCACATACAAACACAGATAATGTTCTTACCATCAAGTTTCTTAATAGGTCGATTCACTCTAATTTTTAACCAACGGAGTTAAACGTGATTTGATGAGCGTAAATTGGCCATGTTCCACACTTGTAAGACGGACACAACAAAAATCTGTGTAACGTCCTCTTAAAGTGAACTGTAATTATTTTAAGATCAGATTTTAAACCGACCGACTTCTGTCGGTAACAATTCCGTTAACCACATTCTACTGTCTAAATTGACACCTATACTATACACCATATACTATTATATAATCGGGTGTTGTTATCATGATTCACTGTTGAATTATTCGTTTTTATATTTTTACCCATCTAGTGTCGTCTGTACACTGTTGACCTGGATAGATGTTTCCGAGTCATTGTAGGTATATTAATTAATATTTTTCCATAATATTATATTCAATGCCTAATTACCTTTGCTGTGATCATATTTTTTTATTCTTATTTTATTTTAATATAATTAGTGTTATTTAAACTGAAATCATTCTTTACTTGTTACTTAAGAGGTAAATGTAATTAAGTTACTCTACTCAATACTCAAATACAATAATTGTAATGAAATTACTTTAATTTTCAAATAGAGAAGTAACTCAATAATTTCTCATTACAAAAAAAAAAAAAAATGTTTTCATTTCTTGGCAATTATTATCATTCTGCAGGGAGCAGGCAATTATGTAACTACTAACTAGAAAATATACATTACCCATAGTAAAAAGGTATACTTTAAAAAAGTTGTTCAGTTAATATATATTTACATAACAATCGTAGGTAATGCCTAATGACTATTCAAAAATAGTAGGTACCTACTAATTAATTGTACCTACTTATCAATAAAAATTAACCATTATATAGTTAAGTATAATAATTTGTATTTATGTCACAAACTCACAATATCAACCTTAGGTATGTGAAAATAAAATTCTAATACATATATAACACATAAGGGCATAATAACACAATAAGGACTTATAAAATTATAAAAATAAACCGTTTCTTATACATGCTAAATGGCTGTAATGATTTATAGCGGTGCGATGTAAATATTTCAATTTTATTTAATTATCAGTAAAATAATGTTATTTTCTAATGTAAATATAGTAATAACTAATAAGTATTTTCAAATTTAACAGTTTTTTTTACAACACTAAATTCTTTATAAAACCTGTATATTCGTAGTTAATAGTAGCGTATAAGACTTAAGAGGACGTCACACCCGCATATGTGATCTCCGTCTTACAAATGTACAACATAGCAAAAACTGTTTTGAGCCGGACAACTTTTCTCGCACCACATTTGTTGTAGAACTACAACACGTAAAGAAGAACTTAATCTGTGCAACAGCGCGCTTATTTTTAATAGCATTATTCAATCATTTTTTATAATCAAATGAAAACAACAAAAAAACCAAATGTTTAGAAACAAATTACTACTAAGAATAAATAAGAAATAAAAAAACTCAAAATAAAAAAGAAGAGACGTATGACAACACTTTTATAGTTTAATCATTTAATACTGTGTTCTCTACGCTTTTTGAAATTACCTCTTCATGTCATTTTATATTAATTGCCTTATTAATTATATCACCCCAGTATTAGAAACTTATAGTATGTTATATGTATTTTTTAATTGAAATATTTCAATTAAACTTAAAAAAATAGTTTTTTTCTTTTGTACGTGCTCGGTTATAGATTATTAAAATAATATATTGAATACACACTTAGAAATAAACTAAAACATATTTTATTTTTGTTGATTTATTATTTCATAATTGTATATTGCTGCAAAATATTCCTGGAATTATTTTGAGAATAAAAACATTTTTTATAAGAGTTTTAAAATATTGTTGTATTCGGACGGTCAGCGATCTAAAAGATAATGGATTGAAATAAAGTTGAAGACAATTCCAATGAAATAATAGTGTATTTTCAGTAATTATAAAGTGTACAAAAGTCGCAATTGTGTGTGTACTAATCTAATACTTAGATCATATTTTGTGTATTGTAAAAGGACTCACAACTATTAAGAGTGGTTTATGTATACCTAATATTGTGAATATAATACAATATAATTATAATATAGTATTGTATAATATGCATTTTCCGAGCCATGTCTATCAAGTCCCAACAATACGTTATGATGTAAAGTTGGTTTATGAGTTTGTAACTTAAGAGTACCTAAAAAGGCAATGTTTTAATTTGTTGTAAGTATTATATTATATTTGTTAAACAACATAAATTATACCTATGTAAATATGTTACATATGTTGTCTTTGTTTTATACAATAAATCAACTTTTAAAAATGTTCACTTATAAGTTGACGACTATAAACTTTTAGATGTAATAAATATTTTATTTTTATTTTTCATCAAAATCAAATATTTCAAGTAAATAAATTTCATGACATTTTAAAACCCTATAATCTATATGTATATATTTAATAGGGCAGGTAACAATATAAAATATATAACAGACCGTAATTTATTGTGCCTTTATGTTTGGGTGTTCCAGTGCCATGTCAGGCTGATTTTTGCTTTTATTTCATTGACTAGTCTACTCTATGTATGTGCGATTTTGCTACTATTGTATTATATATTGTGTACCTGCCTATATAAAAATGTTATAAAAAATAATTGAATTCACTTACGTGAGTGTGTAGATATATCAGTGGATATTTTGATACAGTAATAAGTAATTACAATATCAAATACTTAAGGAAGCATAATTCATTGCCCATTTAGAACACTTGAACGAACATTTCAATGTAAATAGTTGAGTTGGACAAACTTAGCATCCCTCACATTAATATCTTCCATAGATTTTGCATCACATCTTAGAAGAAGAATATTAACTTTGATAATTAGATATTTAAACGATATTGAGTAGATCATATTTTAAAATAAATGTAAAATAATTAAAATAATAAAGTTTAATGAAAAAAAGTGGGAAAGTGGACGTGGCTCTGCTGTACAGTATACTGTAACCTATATGTTACAAGTGGCTCACTGTATAATGGACGGTATTAAATTTGAATCTAGTTAATTTGACTTTCTTATAGACATTTTTTTTTTGATAAAGGTAGGTAATCCTATAAGGAATCTTGTATTACATTTTAAAATCTTAGATTTAAAAAGAAAAATGTTTATGAATTTTTATCTTAAAATAATTTTTGCACATTTTCGTGATTTTTACTTGTTTTGTCAACATTTAAATGCTCATGAAAAAAAATTGTGACTGGATTTTTATTATTTTTCAAAATTTCATTGTAACAATAGATGAAGAGCCTTGTATTAAATTTTCAATCACTTTTACCCAACAAATATAATTTTATTGACATTCGTAGAAAAAAAATCTAAATAACTTTCCCTTCGAACAGGATACTGAAGTAGAAAATCGAAGCATTATGTCGACTACTTATCGTGTACATAGACACAAATAATAATAAAAGCAAAACATACATCATTGTAAAATCGATGCATTCAACTCTCCACTTAGAATCTAATGCATGTATATAATTTATGCAAGTATATTATAGGTATCTAAGTACCTAGTACCACAGAGAACGGTCACCCTTAATGTAAATCTTTAGTCCCGGCTAGAGTGCCATGATAGAGATA